ATATATATATATGTAGATCCTGTGAGGTGGGGAGAAGAGAAATGTATAGAAATTAAGGAATCACTACCATTGTAGCAGCTCCTGATTTTTGCATGATAATGTACCAGACATCATTATGCAAGGTCCAACCTTCATTAATAGCAACCCGTTACCATAGATTATTATTTTTATCCCCATTATACAGATGAAGAAGCTGAAATCTACAGAAAAGAGTTAAGAGTACAGAAAAGGTCTGCACTCTTTATAGCTATGTTGACAAATATATAGTACTAAATAATGCTTTTATTTTTAAGAACAAATTGCTTTACTATTCCTTGAATCAAAAGGATGCCAACCAATACTGTTCCACTTTACAAGATGAAGCATACAGATGTCTTCTATAGACCTGGTTACTTGCCTCGGACAGGTCAGGGGAAGTCCCACTCCAAATTGGTATATGAAAATCTGAGAAAGTTCTAGAACTTCCCTAGGTGCCTTCTAGGTGTGTAGTCCTAAACGACTTCAAAGAAATCTGTCTCACAGCACAAAGTAGAATTTCTTTATAGGTCCTACAGTTAAATGGGGGACATTCACTAATATCAAAAGTGTGGTGGTCCTGTAGAATATGGAAAGAGGTAGGAATGCATGAACTCTCATGATTGTCCCTATTCTAGTTGGAAGTGAAGAGACATAGCTCCCATAAAGATTCCAGTGCCTAGACTAGGAGCCAGGAATACATTTGGCCACCAGAGGTCCTGGTCACATTCATTATGGTTTGAAATGGAATTTCTGGTTTTGTTTTGTTTTGTTTGTTTGTTTGTTTGTTTCCATTTGGGGTCATTCATCCAAAAGGGTGGGCCTTGCTAATTCTTCCTTTTTTTTTTTTTTTTAACTTTTTTTAATGTTTATTTTTGGGGTCATTAATCTAAAAGGCTGGGCTTTGCTAATTCTTTCTTTTTTTTAATTTCTTTTAATGTTTATTTATTTTTGACAGAGAGAGAGAGAGACAAAGCATGAGCAGGGGAGGGGCAGAGAGAGGGGGAGACACAGAATCCGAAGCAGGCTCCAGGCTCTGAGCTGTCAGCACAGAGCCCAATGTGGGGCTCGAACTCACAGACTGCGAGATCATGACCTGAGCCGAAGTCGGACACTCAACCGACTGAGCCACCCAGGCGCCCCGCTGATTCTTTCTTTAAGATACAAGGCTAATTCAGACTTGCGGGTTTCTAGAATTATTAAAGGCATTCAGTCATGAGTGACTCAAGCCTTAAGGGAGAAAGGAGCCTATTGTCTTCAAATGTATGCATTCATATTATAAAAGTACTTCCTGGTTAGGAGTTAATCCATAACCGAAGGTGAACTTTGGATTGAGTGATTGTAGTGAACAAACATTAGGAGAGATGGAATGTCTATCAATGACTTCGAAGATGTGAGGTTACCAGTTATGTATGTATAAATACCAAAAAAGCATAAAGTACGATTTTAAACCCTTCATTTTGTGAGGATATTACATATAGTAACCAGGGTAACTTCCTTATCTTCTCTGAGAAAAGACCAAAACCAACTGTGTAGAAGGTAACAGTGACAATCATTCATCTCTGAGGTGTCCATGAACAGAATGGTAACTGAGTATGTTTTGAGAGGCTTTCCTGTCTGTCTTAGTGTCTCAGTGACACTGCTGGCTCAGTGACCTTGCAGCGGTGTTGTGCTGAGGAAGGAGGCTTTCTGGCAGTCTTCATGCTCATAATCACCCGCACACCCCATGGGCCATCAAGATACTGTTCAGGTTACACGTGATACAACAGATATTTGTCAAGCAACAAATTGTCTAGGTCCGCTGAAGAGCCTAGAAACCCCATATGAGCCAAAGTCTTACAAAATTCTTCTGTTAGGCATCTGTAGCTGATGAAACACGCTGTGCCCGCTGTAGGCATGGTGCGACATAAATGGGACCGTTTCCTGTCAGCTCTCCAAATGAGCCACAGCTGCATTTGTTCGCAGCCCCGCCCTGTCGCGTGAAAATGTTCTGGTTTTTCCAGCTGCGGGTGTGTTCTCTGTTAGTCCCCTCCCTTGAACTACTTCTTCTCTTCCTCTTTAAATCCTCCCCATTCCTGAAGTCCTCTTCTTCTATCAAGCACTAAAGCTGAGTCCAGCCTCCTCTGCTGGCCCATGTAAGAAATGTCTTACAATTTTTCCATATCTTAACGTCTGACCTGAGCACTGATTTTTTTTTTTTTTT